TTAGCCATTGTTTTTGTCTCGGATGATGATGTCCTTATAAAAGCCGCACACCGAATTTTTATCTTTTATATTCAGAATTACACATTTAGATTTAGGATTTAACATTTAGACATCATATTTAAATTTAACCTTTAGTAAAAATTAGCAATATGTACAGCGATCTAAATAATTAAAAAAGGAAAATTTTAACTAAGATTTTTCTCTCAGAAAGTGACACAAATAGGAATAGAAACGTGTTAGAGTCATTTTTACCATTTTTATTTTGAACTTGGTGCCACATATTAGTGTGAAATGACTATGTATTGGCATTTTAATGTAGGAAATGTTTTAAATTAACGTCAACAAGTTTTKATAACCTATTGTTCAAACGGAACAGGTCATGGCCCAGCTAGGAATCTTGAATAATGAGGAGGTGGATTTTTTTGGCTGTTTAAAAGCTGTTTAAAAAAATAAAAGATGTGGATGTGCAAATAAATCAATAAAGCTGAAGTGAAAAGTTTTATTTGAAAAGGAACAATTTTAGAGTAGGAAAAGAAAAGAACAAGTGGTGTGGAGAAGACTGAAAAACACTGAAACCATCAGATAACATGCAGCAGCTACAATCAGTTCAGCAGGTTTACCAGAAACAAAGATGACTGACAGATGATGACTAACTTTTGTCCACTTTGACACAACATTGAGCGAAAACCATTCTGCTGTGATATGTCTGATTATTGTTCTTTAAAACACATCCTAAAGTGTTTCATAACGAGTTCCATGAACTTCAGTTTCATCCCTCAGATCTGTTACATCTTCATGAAAGTCCTCCAGCTCCTCTTCATCACAGCCCTACTGCCATCAGCCTGAAGGACAAACTCTGCACGTCATCTCACACTCGAAACAGTTCTGACTGCTTGAGTGGACCCGTATTTATTCTGAAGCGTTAAGTAGCTCATCTGAGCCTCTCAGACGTCTCTGAGTCTCTTCAGCAGAAGCTTCAGGGATCGTTTTCTGCTCTGCAGCTTTGATGAGCCTACAACTTCACACTATTCTGTGTTTGTCTTTAAGTTGGATCTGAGCCGGTCTGGGTTTATATG